GTGTGGGGCTGAGAATTGACTACTGATTGTTCTGGTTTTGTCTGTGAAGAATGTGGCGAAATCATCAGCTGTTATAGAAGTGGTGGGAGGTGGTGGAGGGGGACAGAGGAGAGAATTGAATGTTTTAAAGAGGTTATGCGTGTCTGGAGTGCTGTTGATCTTGTTGTGGAAGTATGAAGATTTGGCAGTATGGACTTCAGCAGAGAAAGATGAAAGCAAAGACTGATACATACACAGGTCTGACGGATGTTTTGATTTGCGCCATTTTCTCTCTGCTGCCCTGAGTTTGGTCCGATGCTCATGAAGAACATCGGATAACCAGGGGTTAGAGGATGCAGTCCGTGCTGGCCTGGAAGAGAGAGGACAAGAGGTTAAAGTAGAGCATAAAGTGTCAGTTGCTGCATTCACATTCAGAGATGAGAAATAGGCAGGTGAGGGAAGAGAGGAGGATACAACAGAAGAAAGATGGGAGGGGGAAAGGGAGGGTAGGTTTCGTCTAAAAGTAACCGGTATAGGGGTTGGTGGCACACAGGTAGCAAAATGTTATTTAAATGTAATGAAGAAATGGTCAGAGATATGTAAGGGTTTTACCAAAATGTTGTCTGCAATACAATTGCGTGTGTAAATTAAGTAAAGTTGGTTGCCTGATTTGTGCGTGCTTGTAGTGGTAATTCGTTTGAGATCAAATGATGAGGCTCCATTTGGTTCAGGTGTGCCTCATCACATGCCGCCAGCCCTGGCTATTTCAGCACCTCTTCTCTCACGCACCCACTCCTGTCGGGAGCCTGGTGAAGGGCGGCGATTAAGGGATGGGGTGATGCTGATAATTAGAGGGGAGGAAGCCAACTCGTCACAACTCACACACACACTGATCTTACTGTCTATATGAGGATTTATTACACACATTTATTCTGGCGTGATTTCACTGATAGAAGTTCAGCTGCAGTATTAATATCATGAAGAGAAAAGAAGAGACTCTATAACATCTCACTGGTACTGATTCATCATGCAGCTCAAAGCATTATGGGTAGAATCTCTCGTCAGTCTATTCTGATTCATCAACACAGTTTCACTGATGATCCAATAAATACATAAAACCCAGGATAGAGCGGCTGAGTGAATGTGGTCGGGACTGAGTGGATGAGGCTCATTGTGTCAGAGACGCTGTAGAAGGACAGAGTTCCTGCACTGTGATCCACAAACACTCCTATTCTCCTGCTGATGGACTCTACAGGGAGACGAGTCATTATCTTATTGTGACTGAATGAGTAACTGGAGGAAGAGCAGATCAAACTCCAGGACTGATCATTATATCCAAATATGACACTGATATATCCACATCTCCACTCCACTCAGTCTCCCAGTAACAGCGTCCACACACACTCTCTCTACACAACACCTGAGGACACTCATCAAATCTGTGTGGATGATCAGGATACGGCTGATCCTCAAACACACCTGTCACCTTTCTGTTCTCCTCAGACAGACTGAGTTCAGCGTTTGCTGTGTTTGGATCCAGTGTGAGAAAACAGCCATCTGAACACAAGAACAGAGACATTAATAATAACAACAACAACAACAATTACTACAGTTGTGTGTGTGTGTGTGTGACAGTGTGTGTTCTTGATGTTCTTGAATATGAGGACAAAATGTCAGGTTACTCACCAGCATTACAAGGACATTTGGTTTATAAGGACTATAAGGACACCTCGTAATTCTGGGAACGATTATGTTGTTTTCTGACTCCAAATAATGCCCCCTATTAAGTTTTTACATTTAAAAAAAAAAGACCTTATATACCACAATGTGTATGTGTATGAATTTGAAGCATGTCCCCTTTAACCACAATGTGCCATTTTACAACAATACAATCTCGCGGGAAATTTTACAACAATTCGCGGGAAATTTAAAAAAAATGACGTTTTGAAGTGTATTATTTACAGTAAAATTTTGATGAATAAATATTAAAAATACTAATGTAATATTAACTGATGACATTTTAGATTTCGCTGCATAATACAGCGTGTCTGCCATAGCCTTACCTGAGGTCTAATTGGTCAGTTTTGAAAACTCCGTTCGTCGGGCTGGACCATTTTCTCCTACACAAGATCTTTTAAAATTAAAGAGTCAAATTTTAAAAAGAATAAAACTATAAATTAAAAGTGATTACAGGCTGCGTGCTTTTTTCCTCATTGTGATTGACAACACTACCGACCAATGAAAATGCGGAGGATGGTTGTTCTGGGATGTCAATCATCTTTTCCCCGCGAAGATATTCAGACTGCGTCAGCGAAGTACGAAGTAAGTAATCTGTGCCTTTTAAAAAATACTTTCTGTATTTTAAAAACCTTAAAATTTATATCAGCTGTCTTACATCATTTTATGTCTCTGTAAATATCGTCTTTGTATTTTGAATACATTTAATCTACTACGTTTTGTAAACCGAATAAGTTAATTAAGATTCAGCATTAACTTACCTCAGTTTGAAACTCATACGACCAAATAATAGCTCTTTAGCAAATTTAGAAACCACGACCGAGGGCTTAAATGTCTTGGGTCTACGTTTAAACCTATTTAGAAATATATGATGCTTTTGTATTACGAATTTGTAATGTTCGAGATCGACCCGAACCGAACGTTATAGGCCACCGCCCTTCTCCCCCCAAACTTCTGAAAGTAAGTTAACGTGCTCTGTGGTGTACAACACCGTTTTGACAAAAACTTTGTCGTTGTTGTTTTATTCAGGTAAAAATACTCTTGGTAATATTACAGCAACCATTTCGTCAAGTACTTCTTAGAATCTGAAACGTCGATGCCTAATTAACGAATGAGTCCCCATTTTGAGGCGATTCTTTCCATTGCTTCAGTTAAATCGGTATTGTCCTTAATTTATCTGAACTGTACGTTTTCGTTCTGATTTCTCTCTTTTGTGGGAATATATCGTTCAGACAGCGTTTTTTATCATAGAAACATTATCCCTAAGACTAACCAAGTAACGTTACATGTCAAACAACTTTATTCTTTAAACTTCAACAACTTGATAATCACACAATATTGCTGATCTAAAGTACTTTATACCTACAACTGACTATCAAATTTGTGAATTTCAGTGAACACCAGAAAGAGCTCCAGAGGCGGGCTTACCCCTCTTCAGGATGCTGAAAGACATATTCATCTAGGAAGAGATAAAGACACAGTTTTTTCAAAATATATTGATGAAACTAAAGGTAAGTTTGCCACTTATATGTAATGCTTAGAAGAATAATGTAATCTGTATATTAATGTTTTATTAATTTATGTATAGTAGTAGTATCAAAAATAATTTCAGCCCTGGCAAAGTTCATATTATGGCATTTAGATTGTGCCATTTGTTTTTACTTATGTATTAATGAAGTATAACCTTGCTGGCAGTGTCTGTATAAAAAGTTTCATTGCCAGGCATTATGTCTGGTGCAATAAAGTATGATCTCTTGCAATGCCAGATTTATAACAAATGTGAAGGGCTCGACATTAATGCTTACCCACTTGTCTGGGACAAGTGAATTTTTTTGAAGGGGCTAGCCTATTGAAATAATTTACAAGTTGCCTGACTAATATATTAATAACAAAAAAAAAAAAAAATGCATGCACTTTGGGTGTGGGTGCACAGAAAAAGGTCTGTAAGAGAGCGTGCCAGTACTGTATTTAGTTCTATTTCACTCTTTTTGTGCTTGAATGGCTTAAAGTCACTTGAATGTTTAAATTGGCAAGACATTCCGTCATCTGTCATGGTGTTATAAGCGTGAAACCTGCAGGAATGAGTAGAATTATGTGCAGTGCCCGCAATCCTGCACCGAAATTCAAGTCCTGCTCTGTCTCCTCCGCTAATTCCTCAACTGTGAATGATGTCAGCGGCGTACACTCCTATTCTCCTGCTGATGGACTCTACAGAGAGATCAGTCTTTATGTTATTGTGTCTGAATGAGTAACTGGAGGAAGAGCAGATCAAACTCCAGGACTGATCATTACATCCAAACACACACTCATTACCCTGTCCCTTCCTGCTGATGCTCTTATATGATACTGATATACACACACCATAATCTCCACTCCACTCAATCTCCCAAAAACAGCGTCCACACACACTCTCTCTACACAACACCTGCCACACATCAAATCTGTCTGGATGACCAGGATACGGCTGATCTCTGCCAGTGTTAGTAATCACTCTGTTGCTCTTAGACAGACGAAGGAGTTTATTCACTGTGTTCAGATCCAGAGTGAGCTGATGGGAATCTGATGGAGATAAAACACATCAGAATCAGGAATTATGAATCTGTTTGATCTTTTCATGTAGCTGAACTCTTCATGTTCAGTGTATCATCAGTGTCTCAGTACAGATGAGCAAATATCTGTGCAAATCATCATTTACATCATCAGTTATAAAACTCTTCTTTCAGCTTCTACAGGAAGAACATGAACACACTCAGTGAGTTTTTCTGCTAAATTATAAAATTATAAAACTCTTCTTTCTCCTTCTACAGGAAGAACATGAACACACTCAGTGAGTTTTCTGCTGGTTTTCTTGCTGACTTACATTGTAGGAAGTCGTTCCTGGTTCTGGGAACAATGTTGGTGAATGTGACTGTGGAAATCAACAGACATGAACAGTGTGATTCTCATGATCCTGCATCCATTCCTAAGACATTTCTAATATGATGTTCTCCATGATATGAGATGATGATGGACTGGTTTCTGAGAGCAGATGAATCTCCAGGACTTTACCTCTGTCTGAGATCTTCTTGAGCTCCTCTTTGCAGAAATCCTCCAGTTTGTCTCTCAGCTGATGAACAGATTCTCTCAGAGCATCAGAAGAGACGAGAGAACTGAAGAGATCATCATTTACGTCTGTAGATTCAGGAGGAGCTGAGAGAGACTGGAAACTCTACAGAAAACAGAAATCAAAACTCATCAGCTCCACACTTCACCCAATAACCTGCAGGAACATCAGATTTGTGCGGCTCTTGTTGACTTGACTGATCTTTAGTAACTCAGCTCAATCCAGCACTTTCACAGCATCAGCTTCATTCTTCTCATATTCATTATATGACATTAGAGCTACAGATTCTAGTATTTGCCACTTACACTCTATGTGAACTTTCTAGAAAATAGTTTGAATGATAAAACATCTGCTAAGAACATAAATGCCCATCCAACAGCTCAATGGATTCTCGTTGTAGGGTTGAGTAGATTTGCTCAGGAAATCAGCTCAAAGGCTACGATTAGATTTACTATTATTTATAAATTTAGAGCAGTTAGAGACACTGAAACTTCACAAGGACCCTTAAGACACGCTCGGGTTTGGTTTGGTTTCAATAAACTGAAGTATTGCTAATATATAGACTGACTTCATGTTTGGGGTTTTCATGGTCAAATTCATCAATGTGTTACAGGCAAATAAAAATAATTTTTTGTCAGGTTTGAGGATCACCTGATCCAATTTTGATGAACATTACTCAGAATCGGTACTATCAAGTTCACTGATTTCACCATGACGTAATTAATCAGAAGGGAAAATGGGGTAAAAAGTTAAAATGTTACTTAAGTTTTGAACAGTTGGTGGCGCTAGTGGTGTTTGGCAGCTAAATGCATCTTCCAGAAGAAAGATCTCAGAGAAATTATTCCTAAGAGATTTCCAGAGCTGAGAGCCATTTGTAAGCGGCGTCTCTTTCAGAAGAAGATGATCAGATGAGAGTCTGACTGATGATTATATAATAAGACACTCATGAACTGTTTCTCTGTGAGTCTCTGTCACAGCAGGATCTGCTCAAGTCCACTATGATCCTGTTCTTCTAGATCTCTGTTACCTGCAGGAACTGGATGTGATCCTGTGTGTGTGAAAGCTGCTCCAGCTCAGCGTCTCTCCTCCTCAGATCATTGATCTCCTGCTCCAGTCGCTCCAGTCGTCCTTCAGCTCGACTCACTGCAGTCTTTTCCTGATCTCTGATCAGCCGTATCAGCTCAGAGCGGCTTCTCTCAATGGAGCGGATGAGCTCAGTAAAGATCCTCTCACTGTCCTCCACTGCTGTCTGTGCAGACTGCGGTTAGGACACACAGTGATTCAGGCTTCAGTGAGTCTGAACTGAGATGGAGACAAACTTCTCTTCTTCTCCAGACTCACCTCATGAGACTCCACAGCCTCTCTCAGCTGCTGAAGATCTTTCTCTCTCTGCTGGATTCTCTTCTGCATCTCCTTCAACTGTGTCTGGAGGAAAAATGGATAATAGTAAATGTCACATAAAACTACTAATCACTAAATCATCAAGTGAACAGTTAATATGAATCCAGTATCTGTGAATTAGTGAGACCACACAGTGATTCAGGCTTCAGTGAGTCTGAACTGAGACGGAGACAAACTTCTCTTCTTCTCCAGACTCACCTTATGAGACTCCACAGCCTCTCTCAGCTGCTGAAGATCTTTCTCTCTCTGCTGGATTCTCTGCTGGAACGTCTTCTGCGTCTCCTTCTGCTGGTGCTGCAGGACAAACGGATGATAGTGAATCTCACAGAAAACTACTGCCACTAAATCATCATGTGAACAGATGAATCCAGTAAAAGTGGAGCTGATAACTAATGGCTGTAGGTTCAAACTCCAGAAGTGATGATCGGCTACAATCATCATATCAGCATGAATTACTACAAGTGTAAGTATTATAAAAGTGAAACTGACAAAGACGTAGAACTTCAAACTGATAGTGTTTGTGCTGTGTAGCAGAGCTTGCATTTTGACTGATGGAAATATATATTTTGTCAAAGAACAGGTGAAAAGTATAATCAAGGCCATTTTTAAGAAAGATTGTGTTGATAAAGGTTTACGGTGCATCTTCAGCAAACAGTGAAACTTTTCTTGCAGCTACTGTTCACTTCTGCTGCCATGTGACGTGTGAATGCTGTAAGCTGTTAATATCGGTGCCGATATAAACACATATGAAACGATTGTCAGCAATATTTCATTAGCATCTAGTTCTGAATACCTGTTTCTCTGTCCTCTGTTCTGCTGCTGATACAATGTCATGGTTTTTATGTTCAATAATCGTACACAGCATACATATACATTTCTGGTCAGTGCGACAGAAAACCTCAAGGAACTTCTCATGTTTCTGGCAGATCATCTCCTGCAGTCGTCCAGTGGCATCAGTCAAATTGTGTCTCTTTCCTTTAAACAAACTCTCATGTTGGTCGAGGTGATTCTGACAGTAAGATTCCAGACACATCAGACAGGACTTGACGGCTTTGTATTTTCTTCCAGTACAGACGTCACACTGCACATCTCCAGCTCCAGCGTCACAGTCAGCAGAGAGTTTGGTCTTCTTCAGTTTCTCCACCACTTCAGCCAGCATGGTGTTTCTAGCTAAAGCAGGTCTTGGACTGAAGGTCTGTCTGCACTGAGGGCAGCTGTAGACTCTCATTTGATCCTCCTGGTCCCAGCAGTCTGTAATACAGCTCTCACAGTAACTGTGTCCACAGGAAGTTGTCACTGGATCCTTCAAGAGATCCAGACACACTGAACACAAGAACTCATCCTGAGAAAATCTGGCTTCTGCCATTTTACTGCATGAATACAGAGACACGAACACACAACAGCTCAATTACACTTTCAGTTTCTCTTTCACTGAAATCATGTGATTCCTGTTTCCTGCTTCTGTGTTTCAGTCAAGTGTTTGTCTGCACATTCTCTCATACTGTAACACCTTCATGTTCCTGCAGTCTGTTAGATGTGCAGAATCTCTGTGTCTCATGTGTCAGGTGTTAAAAAATACTCTGCACACACTTTTACTACCATGCACTGTAAAAATAATCACGTGTATTTACAGTATGTTACTGTAGAAAAACATTGGCAGCTGTGGATGCCAGAAATTCACTGTAAAAATATGTTGATGGCATTTCAGACGAACTGGATTTACTTTAAAACTATTTTCACTCAGATGCTAGTCAACTACAAAAATACAAAGTATATAAAATAAAACAAAAACAAGAAGCAATATTCCCCAGCTGAGATGAAGAGGGGGTTTTACAGCCCCTACTTCATTGTACCCAAGAAAGGTGGGGGGCTCAGGCAATCTTGGACCTGAGGGTTCTGAACCCGGCCCTTCACAAGCTTCCATGTAGAATGCTTACGCTCAAACACATGTTGATATGTGGAATCAACAACATCAACAATTGAATGTGTGTGCTGAAGGAAGCATACTTTCTTGTCTCTATCCTTCCAAGACACAGGCCGTTTCTACTGTTTGCCTTCGAAGATCAGGCAAATCAGTACAACGTTCTTCCCTTTAGGCTGTCTCGGTCTCCTCGCGTCTTTATGAAAGTCGCAGAGGCTGCCCTTGCCCCTCTCAGGGAAGTGGGCATTCGCATTCTCAACTAACTAGATGACTGGCTTATTTTTGTTGGTTGGTTGGTTTGCGAATACAGAGACGTGGTCCTCGACCACTTAGCTTAACTGGAACTTCAGGTCAACTGGGAAAAGAGCAAACACTCCCGAGTGCAGAGTATCTCTTTTCTCTGTGTAGCTCTAGACTCGGTCACTACGACAACACACCACTCAAAGGTCCGTGCCCAGTCAGTGCTGAACTGCTTGAGAGCTCTCAAGTACAAAACAGCGGTCCCTCTCAAATACTTTCAGAGGCTACTGGGGCATATGGCATCCTCAGCCACGGTCACGCTGTTAGGCTTGATGCATATGAGATTGCTTCAGCACTGGCCTCATACCCGAGTCCCGAGATACACATCGTGTGAGAATCATACCAGAGTGTTGCCGTAATTTCAGCCCTTGGCAGGACATCTCCTTTCTAGGGGCAGTCGTGACCTGATGGTTAGAGAGTCTGACTTGTAACCCAAAGGTCGCGGGGTTTGAGTCTCGGTACCGGCAGGGATTGTAGGTGGGGGGAGTGTATGACCAGCGCTCTCTTCCACATTCAATACCACGACTGAGGCGAGACAAGCCTTGAGCAATGCACTGAACCCCCAACTGCTCCCCGGGCGCCGCAGCACATGGTGGCCCTCTGCTCCGGGTGTGTGTTCACGGTGTGTGTGTGTGTTTGTTCACTACTCACTGCTGTGTGTGTGCACTTGGATGGGTTAAATGCAGGGCACAAATTCCGAGTATGGAACACCATACTTGGCTACACATCACAGCACTTTCACTTTCTACAGGCAGGGGTTCCCTCAGAACAAGTGTCCAGACACATTGTTGTAACAACAGATGTTCCAAGACAGGCTGGGGTGCCGTGTGCAACGGGCGTGCAGCCTCCGGGGTCTGGACAGGAGTTGTTGACGGTGCTTTTGGCCTTGAGAAGATTTCAGCCATTGATTCAGGGCAAGCACGTGTTGGTCCTGACGGACAACACAGCTACTCACAACTTGCCCGCCATCTCTTAATATGGAGCCAGCAGAGACTCAGGTCCCTGCGTGGCACTCATATTCCGGGCGATCTTAACCATGTAGTGGACTTCCTCTCACGTCAGTTCTCGCTCAGAGGAGAGTGGAGGCTTCATCCCCAGATGGTCCAGCTGATTTGTAGTCGATTCGGTCAGTCGCCCCTTGACACGGACGCACTGGCGCACAGCTGGCCCAGGAGTCTCGCAAGTATGTGTTCCCCCAGTGAGCCTCATTGCGTAGACACTGTGCAAGGTCAGGGAGGACAGAACAAGTCTTGATGGTGGCCCCTTTTTGGCCCAACAAGACTTGGTTCTCGGATCTGGTGCTGCTGGCATCAGCTCCTCCCTGGCAGATTCCTCTGAGTAGAGACCTTCTCTCCCAGGGGAAGGGCACAATCTGGCACCCGCGACCAGGAGGAGTTCAGAGATCTCTCACCTGCAGTGGTGAATACCATCACACTGGCCAAGGCCCCCTCGACGAGGCGGCTATATGACCTGAATTGGCGCATTTTCGTAAATTGGTGTTCTTCCCATGGGAAGGACCCTCCGAGATGTGGTATTGGATCAGTGCTTTCCTTCCTCCAGCAAGGCCTGGATAGGAGCCTGTCTGCCTCTATTCTTAAGGTGTACAGTACGTGGCTGCCATTGCAGCAAATCACGACACCATAGACGGCAGATCGGTAGGGAAACACAATCTTGTTATCAGATTCCTAAGAGGTGCCCGGAGGTTAAATCTTCCAAGGCCGTGCCTCATCCCCTCTTGGGATCTACCTGTGGTCCTTCAAGCCTTACAGAGAGATCTGTTTGAGCCCCTTCAGTCAGTTGAGCTTGGTTCCCTCTCTATGAAGACGGCCCTCCTGACTGCGTTCACTTCTATCAAGAGGGTGCGGGATCTTCAAGCCCTCTCTGTTAGCGAATCATGCCTAGAATTCGGACCAGCAGACTCTAACGTTATCCTGAGACCCCGGCCAGGATATGTGCCCCAGGTCCCCACCATTCCTTTTAGGGATCAGCTGGTGACTTTGAAAGCTATTCCCCGACAGGAGGTGGACCCTGACCTGTCTCTGCTGTGCCCAGTGCGAGCCCTGCGCATTTATTTGGAACGCACACAGAGTTTCAGATCATACAGCTCTTTGTCTGCTTTGGAGGTCAGCAGAAAGGGAATTTCTCTCTCCAAACAAAGGATTTCTCACTGGATTGTGGGTGCTGTCCTTAAGGCCTATGAGGCCAGAGGCTTACCATGCCCACTGGGAGTGAGGTCTCACTCGACCAGAGGCATTGCGGCTTCTTTAGCCTTAGCGAATGGAGCCTCATTAGCAGACATCTGCAGAACTGCAGGTTGGGCTACACCTAACACATTTGCCAGTTTTTACAATCTGAGAATGGAACCAGTTTCATCTGGAGTATTGAGCACTAGTTCTTCAACTTAGATGGCTGATATGTATGGTATGCACTTATTGAGTCCAGTTCAGTTCCTTCTTATGAACCCTGGACTACCCTGCCATCACTTAAGCACTTCTTGTGCAGTTGAGTTTTGCGGAGGAACTCCTCAGAACAAAACAAATGAGCAAATGCCACGCTGGCCAATTTATACCCGGATGTCCGGGGCGTGGCCAGCTATGCAGATTTTGCTCGCCAATTGTCAACTGTCCTTTTCTCAATGATGTCAGAGGTGTCTGGGCTCCCAAGTGCGAACCCTAGTTTTGGTCTTGACACAACGTCTCCGTTCCCTCCATCAGGGAACGAGTGTTACATACGTAACTGAGATGTTTTCACTGTAAATTCTGTTTAGGTACAAAATACATAAAATACATATTTTACTGTTTACTGTTTGTAAGTACATGCATTTTTTATTAACATAATATACATTTTCACATTAAATGGTAATTCATACTTTTTACATAGAAATATTTGCACAGTATTTTGCAGTAAATGTACACTGTACAAAATATTTTTTCAAAGCTGTAAGTAAAACAAAGATTATTATTTTACAAGGTAATACTGTTTCAGTTATTCTTCCTCAATATTTTATGTTTAATTGAATGCATTACTTGCGATTTCTTTGTAATTAATTGTGAAAATTACTAACATTTCTGAGTGTTGACTAACAATTTCTCATTTTTTTAGTGTACATGGATAAGCCTGTTTTTGTCCAAAATGTTTTACACCTTTGAAAAATCATTTTTACAGTGTGTTCATGTTCCTAGAGATGATGAATTACATGTTTTCTTTTTAGAAGGTTAAAGAAAGTAGATAATTAACAGTCTGAGACGTGATCTGCGTGAATTTGTACAGAGTTGTTCAATATCATCTTTAACTGCTGAAAGGATGTTGCAGGAGTTTGTGGCAGAATCTGAGGAAACCTGGCTGAGATTTCATTGGCTGATCTGATACTACAGCGACGTTAAAAATGAGTCAAAGAGAGTAAATGAAGCGCCTGAGGCTCGTTCACGAACACATTCACTCTCTCTCACAGCATTCATGAGTTGGCATATTAAAAAAAACTCCCCTGTGTGTCTTTGTCTCGCTATCGTTCTCTCTCCTCGACAGCACATTCCTCTCAGATCGTGTGTGAGATCATATTCAGTCTCATCTCAGATTAGCTGGAGCTCAAAGCACAGGAATTCAGTGAGGACGGACAGGAGATACACACGCTTGTGTTGAGATGAGCTTCTCCTGTAGAAATACACCTTCAGTATGTATAATGTCAGTCTGATCAACTCATAAGAGACAGAATTAGAGATGATGAATTTGTACAGAGTTGTTCAATATCATCTTTAACTGCTGAAAGGATGTTGCAGGAGTTTGTGGCAGAATCTGAGGAAACCTGGCTGAGATTTCATTGGCTGATCTGATACTACAGCGACGTTAAAAATGAGTCAAAGAGAGTAAATGAAGCGCCTGAGGCTCGTTCACGAACACATTCACTCTCTCTCACAGCATTCATGAGAGTTATCAGCATTTAGGGATATAAATCAAAGAAAACTCCCCTGTGTGTCTTTGTCTCTCTATCGTTCTCTCTCCTCGACAGCACATTCCTCTCAGATCATGTGTGAGATCATATTCAGTCTCATCTCAGATTAGCTGGAGCTCAAAGCACAGGAATTCAGTGAGGACGGACAGGAGATACACACGCTTGTGTTGAGATGAGCTTCTCCTGTAGAAATACACCTTCAGTATGTATAATGTCAGTCTGATCAACTCATAAGAGACAGAATTAGAGATGATGTTCATATGTTGGTCAGTGGCGTCCTCTAGTGCTACTC